GAGCGGCTCTTGGCCTCCTCCCTAGAGGGAAGCCTGAGTGCAGCTAGCCGGGTTCTCGGTGATTAAAGCTGGCGGGTGACAAAGGCTGGCAGGTGGGGAGGCCTGAGGGGAGGCCCCATTCTGCGCACTGGCGCAGACCAAACCCCACCAGCCCGTGCAGGACGGGGCGGGACTGCCACGGAATGGTCTAACGTGACCACATCTTCTCCCACGCCTTGTGGCTCAGGGGTCTGACACAGCTTACAGATTTTGTCAGGGCCCTCCAGGACACCGTGAGGGCATGGGCTGGGTGCTGTCCCCTCCAGGTTGCTCGCTGGTGGTTGGCGGGATACAGGTCCTCCATGCGGCGCCTGGAGGGCAGCTCCAGCCCAGCAAGCGGCTTCCCGCAGAGCTGAGTGGCTGAGCAGGATGGGAGCCATGACGGTTCATAACCTAGCTTGGAAGGCGTGTCTGGTCTTCTGGCACGTTCTGGAGTCTCTAGATCCAGGCTGCCCCACTTCCTCCAGGCCTTCTCAGAGCTGCCGGCCACAGGGCATCCACATGCCCACGGGGCTCGGATTGGCATCTCCTGATGACCATGAGGTGGGCACCTGTGACCCCGAGGGCACCTCTGTGAGCGCCCATCCATGTCCTGCCATCTGCTGTCAGACCGTCCGTCTTCTCACAAGCTCTGGGCAAGTCCTTTTCTGGGTGTGTGATTTGCAAATATTATCTCCTGGTGTATGGCTGGCCTTGTTCTTTTCTTAGCGGAATCTTTAGAAGAGAAGAAAGAGCCTGACATTCCAGTGAAGTCCGACGTCCTGATTCTTTCTCCTCCTGTCCACACTGTGGGCAAGGATCCTGCTAGGGAAGCCGTGTCCTAGGCCATGGGGATTTTCTCCTGGTTTACTGGAAGTGCCGTGCATTTGTGCCTCTGGTCCGTTCTGAAATGGCACCGGTGCATGGTGTGAGGTAGGGGCCAGGCCGTTCACACGGGTGACCAGGAGCATCAGCGTCGCCTGTGGAAGAGGCCATCTGCCCTGCCCGGGGCTCCCCCGTGCCTTTGTCTGAAGCCCACAGACCACCACATATGGCTCCTTCCCTGGACCAGGTCTCTGCCCTGTGCCTCAGCGATGCTACGTTATCACCTCCTCCTGAAGTGGCCTCTTCCTGTTTGGAAACGTGGGGAGGCCAGTGTGCTCTGTGTGCGTGGCTTCGTCGTCCCCACACTCCGCCTGCCCCGGGCACCAGGGCCGTCGGTGTCAGTGGGAGCGTGGCCTGCCGGGGATGGTTTCCCTGAACACGTTCTTATCTTTTTCTGGAAATGGTATTTTTACTAAGTATGAAATTCTGAGTCAATAGGATTTTTTCTTTCCACACGTAAACTGCCATTTCTGGGGCCAGCAGATGGTGTGGTGGTTAAGGCACTGGACTCCCACAAGACTGACTGGTTCGAGTCCCGAACCTGGTAGTTGAAACTCATGCCGGGCGTGTGTGCCCAAAGCCCCAGAAGGAGAGTGGAGGAGAAGGGGTGCAGCGTGGCCATCTGCTCAGGGGGCGATTTCTCACTTGCCCTCACTCTCTCCAGCGGATGCATGTGCCCTGTGGCAAAACCTTTAAAAGAAAAAGCCCTTTCTCTCGTCCAGCTGCCGCTGCTTCTGATGAGAGGTTGGCGGCCGTCCCAGTGCTGTCCCTCACACGGACCTCCTTTTGCAAGGTTTTCTCTGACGTCACGTCCATTGGTTCGTCGTGAGGAGGCTGGGCCTGCAGGGACCTCTGTATTTACCCTGCGTGTGCCCCGGTGAGCCTGTGGGGCGTTCAAACCCGAGTGTCCACCACAGGGACATTCTGGCCGCATTTCTTAAGGCACTGGACTCCCACAAGACTGACTGGTTCGAGTCCCGAACCTGGTAGTTGAAACTCATGCCGGGCGTGTGTGCCCAAAGCCCCAGAAGGAGAGTGGAGGAGAAGGGGTGCAGCGTGGCCATCTGCTCAGGGGGCGATTTCTCACTTGCCCTCACTCTCTCCAGCGGATGCATGTGCCCTGTGGCAAAACCTTTAAAAGAAAAAGCCCTTTCTTTCGTCCAGCTGCCGCTGCTTCTGATGAGAGGTTGGCGGCCGTCCACGTGCTGTCCCTCACACGGACCTCCTTTTGCAAGGTTTTCTCTGACGTCACGTCCATTGGTTCGTCGTGAGGAGGCTGGGCCTGCAGGGACCTCTGTATTTACCCTGCGTGTGCCCCGGTGAGCCTGTGGGGCGTTCAAACCCGAGTGTCCACCACAGGGACATTCTGGCCGCATTTCTTCAAAGGGCTCTTCCTTCCCACTGGTCCCTTCTTCCTCAACCCGAGTGGGGAGTGGTCTCTTCCCGTCCGCAGCTCCTGAGTCTGCTCATTGTCAGCCCTTTTCCCTGTCCTTCTGGGGCTCCGTGGGCAAGCTGAGCAGGCATGCAGATGTGCAGGCCTGCCGAGGGTCACCAGCCCCTCACTGCTGTCTGGCAGAGCCTGAGAGCCAGCCCCTGCTTCTGCAGTGCGGAGCAGCGTAGCCGGGCACAGCCGCTGAGGGCCTGCGTGGCCCTAGGCTTTGGCCACCGTGCCGCAGACGGGCTTGGCTGCTGTCCCGTCTCGGGTCTGACGTGGGAGCTCAGTGCCAGGTGCTGGAGCAGCGCTCCCGTAGCAGACCCACAGGGGAAGGCCCTGGGTTCGCACCCTGGAGTCGCCCTGAGCACACACCCAGGTACATGTCTGTGCCCTGGCCCAGGGTGGCTGAGCCTGGGCATGGAGGGCAGCGTGAGGACCCCACTGGAGGTGCTCGCCTGTCTCCCCTCTCTCGTAGGAGGGATAAACAAACTTAAAAACAGCCAGGTCGAGAAGTGTGACTTCACGTTACCTGGACGGACAGGACTTTCCTCCATGGGCAGAGGAGGGGCCCTGGCTGGCCAGGGAGCTGCCTGTCTGAGGCCGCGGGTTCAGGCTGACATGCCAAGGTGTCCTGTTGTGTCCATCTGATTTCTTCGGCTCTATTTGTTTAAACTTTCATTTCTTCCACGAGCAAGAGAGAGAGCTCTCCTAGCAGGGTCCGGATATGGCCACCCACGCCACCCTGCCAGCCCTGGGTTGTGGGCATGGACCTGGTGCAGTCAGTGAGGTCTCTGGGTTACCCCAGTCCCTTCTGCGCTCAACCCTGCCCGGCCCAGCAGTGCCACCTCACGGCCGAGCGGACCCTCCTGACAGGCAGGGTGCGGTGCCCAGACACACCTTCCTTCCTTCTTGAGGTTCCGGTCGAGGTATAAATGTGAAGGCAGAAGCTGGGCGCCCGGCCATGAGCACGGCAGAAGCAGGGCCATCACATGCTGGAGCCGGGGCATGGTGGGCACGGCCGGGCGGAGTTTCCCACGGAGGCCCACAGAGTGCAGGCAGGTAGTCGCGTACGTGCAGGGTTCTCAGGAAGGACGGCCACCCAGCATGCCTCAGTGCACTGGCCCCTGGTGCTGCTGGACACGGCCTTTTCTGTGTCTCCGTCTTTTATTCCACGTGGAGGACGTGGTTGGGGGTTGGGAGTTTGCATTTCTGCCTGGACTTTGCTTTTCAGATCTGTCCTTGGGCCCCTCCAGGGCTTGGTGTTTCTTCTAGAGGCAGGGTCAGACAGGACTCCGTGATGTGCGTCCTCGGGAGACCAGACGGCGCTGTGGACCCTCCTCTGCCTGCCCTCCGCCTAGAGGCACCGGGTGCCGTCCCTGCTTAGGGGACTCGGTCGGCTGCACGCCTGCCCAGCGCCTCAGGGGGCTGGGTGGGCTGTTTGGCCGCGCCCGCCGTGACTGGCTGACCTCAGGGCCCAGCCGCATGGCCACACAGGTCCCTCTGTCTCCCTTCCCACCAGGCCGGCTGTCTTTCTTCACCTCGGGCTCCGAGAACCTGCACCGGGTGGAGGAGGTCCGCTGGGGCACCCGGTACGCCATGACCATCGCCTTCACCTGCAACCCCGACCACGGCATCACAGACCCGGCCTTCTGGGAGCCCGGCCCAAGGTCGGCGCCTGGTGGACCTGGTCCCCGACCCTCGTAGGCAAGCTGCCGGGCTGCCCGGATCCGTCGCACGCAGTGCCTTACAGGGACCTCGGGTTTCGCTTTGCCTGTTGCCCCCTCTTCATCTGTGAGTAAACTAGGGACCCGGCCTCCGCTGGGCAGGTGTCCGCATGGTCGCTGTTGACGCCAGAGTGCCCGCGTCCCTTTTTCCACAGGCAAGAGTTCCCTGGGACCCGGGGAGAGTCCACATCCCGGACAGAGGACCTGCTCACTGGGCCACATGCACCCATGGCCCATCAAAGACCGACCCTGGCACTGGCTGCTTTGAGTGGGGACAGTGAGAGTGTGGGGCCAGCAGTGCCCACCTGGGACCTGGAGCCACGGCCCCAGCCTGGTGACCTGTGACTGAGGGCGCGAAGGCCTACCCAGTGGAGGGGCTGGGGCGTCAGGGTGGGACGAGCATCTCCTGTCCAGGGTTCCCGAGGGTCACCCAGGCTTGACGGCCACACCATGTTGGGTCCTGGCCCACCTCCGGCAGAGCCCCTGACAGTCAGGGTCCAAGTGTGTCACCACTTGGCAGGTTCTTGCTGCCACCGTGTTCAGCTCTCGGGGGCCCACACAGAAGGGGCACATTCCTGGCCCTCCGTGATCTGGCCTGAGAGGGGGAAGCCCGGGGACAGTCAGGGAGGACCCAGCCCCCCCTGCTCCTCGGGCCTGTAGGGCTTGCAGTTTCCAGCAGGTCCCGGTGCTACACGGGGCGGGTGCCCTGGCGTGGGCGGAGGCCGACTGGGTCACACAAACCCTCAGGGCAGGCCATTGCTGGCCCTCCCTCAGGCGCCAGAACTGGAATGGGGGAACGGCTGTCCCGACACCCTGTAGCCAGGCGGGCTTGGTCTCCCCGCTGTCGTCCTTGTGGGTCTGGGCTGTTCCTGTCATAGCGCCTTTCCCGCGGGGCAGGGCCTGCGTGTGAGCTAGGAGGGCCCCGCTCCACACGGCAAGCTCCGTCCCGGCCTGCTTCCCAGAGTGGGGGTTCCGCAGGCGTTCTACCCCATCAGATGTCGCATGACACCTGCCACCACCGCCTCCATTCCAGGCCTCCATCCTGTCCCCCT